CGCTTTTGAGTTGTGCTCCTGCTGGTTTTAAGTTATATTTATGAAAATATCATTTTTATACAGTAAAATAGTTGTTCTAAAAAACTGTGTTCGGAAATTTTTGTCTATTTCGTCATTTCGCTGATATGGCGATTTCTTTGACGACTGCAATATATTTCTGAATTGTTTGAGTCAATTGCTCTTTATTATTAAAATATCCAAAATTAAAAGAAAGCCGAACACCATTTTGAAACTGACGTATTTAGTTATGTCCTGTGAAAATTTGAGAAAAATTGGATAAAACCCGCAGGAGCACAACTCGTTTGAAAATCAGTAATTACCGCAAAATTTTTCGGGAGAAAATTGAATTTGAATATTACATTTTCAATGTTTTTCTTATTGCAGCGAAATGTATTTTACTAAATAACTCTGCGAGTTTTCAACATTTTTCGTTCAAACTTGGTCAGATAGTAGAACTAGTCTAATGCTTTCAGTGCAACCAATAAAAAAATTTTAGGCAAAAGTAACACTCAAAGGTGTTCTGTAACCTTAAGAGAAACTTTTTTAGCAATCTTTGAACTTTCCCTCGTATAATTTTTTAGTATTTTTCATAATTATGTAGTACATGCATGTCTTTCTTGTAAAATAGTTTATTCAGTTCTGGACCTTTCTGAAAATCACTTTGTGAGAAAGCTTTCTGAAAATAAACATTAATTAAAAAAAAAAACACAAAAAAACTTATTCGTTCGTAGTTTCGTAGTTCTTTAAAATTAAACTACTCAGTCATTCACATGTATTTATATAGCCTCACAGTGATCTACAGCAATAGATATTTTCTTTCAAAGGTTGCGTTCTTGTCGATGTGCGTAGTGCTTGAAATAAAAACTCAAGGGAGTTCTACTGAACAGTATTGGATAAAGGAATATCAGGTCTCCTACGGTAGCGATACTCAATGGTTCGCTCCATACATGGCAAATGGTGTAAAGAAGGTAGCCTTTTTGGGTGTTTTATTACTATAGTTGTATATTTGCACTGTAGAATTAACTATTTATAGTTTGACCCAATATTTCTATTTGATCTAAACTGTCCTCTTTAGAGGTTTATCAAAAATCATTCTTAATTTGTCCGGTGTTGCTAAAGAAAAAATCTAAACTTATCCAATAAGGAACAACTTTTGTTGGCCCAACTAATCTCACTACAGAAGGGAACTTAAACTAAACGAACTTTATATGAACTGGATATAGGCCTATAGCTGTATTAAACTTCTCCCTCTTGCTCTTGTGTTACTACAGGAGGAAACCTAAACTTAAGTAACTCTATGATACAGGAAGCTTAAGCTTCTGTTCGAAAAGACTCATCGATCCATTGTGTAAGAAGATAGCATTAGCTAAACCTGTTTTATTAATACTACCTATTTGTTAGTATAAGTTCTAGACCATTCTCCCTAGATGTTCAGATTGGACGATTTATTGGCCTATAGAGTAAAACCAAAAACAAACCGAATTAATTTAGCCTCGCATGGTAGCTTTATATCTCGTCTGTTTAAATTCTTTTCCTATATATACGTCATATAAGCTGAAATTATAGGCTGAGGTCTTCTTCTTTTTTATATTCAATGTAGACTTTTGTCGGTAACATTGATCAACAATCAGTTGTCAGCCACAAGCTGGTGCCTGTGATTGTAGCAAGAATAATTCGAATACATCCCATTTCATGGGAGGAAAAGACCGGCCTTAGAGCGGAATTCATTGGTTATTATCGAGGTATGAAACAACACACTTGACTAGTAACAACAGTATGCAGTTTGAATAAGAACCAGTTATGAACCAACTCTGTCTGATTTTAAGTACCAGAGATAACTTCAGTCTATCGCCAAAATAGTAGTTTTTCTTAGAGGTCTACTAAAAGAGCATTGATTCCTAAACTAAATCAATTTTATTTATACTGTATTAATAGCTCTATCAGTTCTAAACAGTTCTCCCTATAGAGCTCCAGTAAGGATCATCTCTTATTGATCCAGTGTTACTACAGGAGGAAACGTAAGCTAAACTAACTTTATTTATACTGGATAGCTCTATCAGGTCTAAACTGTTTTTCCTATAGGTCCAGTAAGGATCATCTCTTATTGATCCAGTGTTACTACAGGAGGAAACCTAAACTAAACTGACTTTATTTATACTGCATGGATAGCTCCATCAGTGCTGAACAGTTCTCCCTATAGAGCTCCAGTAAGGATCATCTCTTATTGATGCAGTGTTAATACAGGAGGAAACCTAAACTAAACTTACTTTATTTATATTTGCTCAACTGTTCCCTCGAGATTCCAGTAAGAACCATCCCTTGTGGTTTTTATGTAGATTCTTAGGGATGGTTTTCGTTTAGTCGCAACTGTTGTTACCAAATCATGTTTGAACTTCGCTTTTGAGCAACAACTGAATGCAAGTCAGTTCTTTTTTTTGCAATGTTGCCATGTGGCGGCTTTGAGACAGTTCCGTAATAAAATATTTGAATGGCCAATCTCATTCGATAAGGAGTTCTACTCAGTGCAATTCTCGGAATCAGTGATGTTTCTTTTTGCTTTTCTAGAAAATTCAATTCCACGACCGTTGGGAATGGAGAATCGGTTTATTCAGCAATCGCAGATTAGTTTTTCAACAGCGCCGTACGGAGGAAAGTACCAGTCACCTTGGTTAAATGCAGACGGTGATTATTGCTGGGTTCCGCATTATGGGCGCGATGGCCAGTGGTTACAGGTTGATTTTCTCAGGCTGACTAAAGTAACTAAAGTAAAAACTCAAGGACGCGGGCCCCATAACCAGTGGGTAGTTACCTATAATTTAGCGTTTGGAAATGATGGTGAATTTTTTTTTCACTACCAACGTAATGGAGAAACGGAGGTAAATAATTATGGAAACATTCTTCGATGATTTTTTAAAGTGACGTAATAGCAACCAGGGCCTTAATGTATATTCATATTTGTATGTTTTCTACTCTAGATATTCAATGCGAACTGGGACAGAGGAAGCATCAATTCCCAAACTGTTTCTCCAGCCATTGTTTCTCGATTTCTTCGTCTTTATCCGAAAGAGTATAAGAATGCAGTTGCAATGCGTTTAGAATTTGAAGGATATTACGTAGGATTCGAAGGTAGGACAGTTTGACTCGTCTGTGTAGTAACGAGGCGAACAGACGGGCTGTCTGTCAAGGGAAGCGTACATGTAGCTCTTCTTTACGGAATAACACGCCTGCATAAACAGGGGTGGGAAAAAGATTTTCCTTTCTGGTACCGAAAGAGAACATTTTCTGCAAATTTTCTAACAAGTTGTCAAACTGAATGTCATGCTATATTTTAACAGAAAAAATTATTTCAATGCACTGAGAATCTTAAAGGTGATCTACAGTCCGATCTGCGCATGTGCACAAATGAGCCCACTTTTTATGATACAAACAGTTTAACCATGTTTTGAGTCCTTGAAAAGTCTGATTGTTGTTTCTTGATCATTTATTATACTCTAGAAGCTTGAAAATATAAATAGTTGTCGAATAAAGCTCAATATTTTGGACACAAAAATGTAAACAAGGGCTTTGTTTACATACGGACTGTAGATCACCTTTAAGAATACTTTTAGGAGTATACAGTACTATAAAACTAATTTAGGTAACCTGCATCAAGGGTCTGATCCTAAGGTGAATACAGATGCTAAAAATGCATTTTTCCAGCCCTGTGCCATTTCTCGCCAAGCCATGTTGTAATTAGTGTTAACAATACTTACCATAGTATCATAAATATTCATTATTTGTATACTGAAACACAAGTGTGTGTATTTTTTTAGAAACTTGTCAAACTGCCAGGGCCCTTGGCATGGAAGATAGACGTATTAGCGTCCATCAGATATCAGCCTCCTCTTCCTTGGACGAAAAATTTCTGCCAGACTATGGACGATTAAATGTGGATGCTAGTCACGGTGCTTGGATCGCGTTGCACCTCGACACCGCTCAGTGGTATCAAGTGGACTTTGAAAGGATTGTGAAGCTTATTGAAATACATACACAAGGACGAACTCCGGGTGCCAATGAGAACCAGTGGGTTAAGGAATATACTGTCTCGTATGCGTATCATCCTGACCGAATTGATTCTCAGTTTTATCTGAAAAATGGACAAACCAAGGTAAAATAATTGTGTTCCATGGTGGTATAAACTGCAATTTTGCAATAGGAAGTATACGCCGAGGGGTGATGTTTCCACAAACAAAAACACATTACTCGTCATGGAACCTACAAAGTCAAAGAACTTAGTAAACTCATCGAACTAGTTTATATCTACAACTAAAAAACTCACTAATAATTCATGAGGAAAATTCAAAAGAATTGAATGTTTAATCAATGTTTGTAAATCGGATAAAGATTTGTCCTGATTTACGTAAACTTCAGCTTTGATTTTCTCGGCTTAGACAATGTTTATTTTTAAAATTACTTCGCCAATGAACTCATAAGATGGGTCGTTTTTTAAGCACGTTATTCGCTTCCGATCTTTATCCGATACACAAACTCTCGCCTTCGGCTCGAGTTTGTATATCACATAAAGATCGGCTGCTCATGTTTTAACTACTACTAACATATGTCTGTTTTTCTTAAGGTTTTCCAAGCAAATTTTGATACAGATACCATCGTACGCAATACATTGTTGCCAGCCATTGTTGCTAGGATTGTCCGTCTTCATATTCGATCTTGGAACGATAAGATTGCGATGAGAGTGGAATTCTTTGGGACATATGAAGGTACGAAATCTTCGCACGCACTAATATTGACCATGTCAAACGTTTGTTGATAATGGTTATAGTTTGAGCTTAGGTTGGGTATCCCCTCTACTGAGTCACGCTTTATTTCAAGTTGTCATTCAGGTGTCATGCGTAGGCTCTTTGTAACATTCTTAAAATCAACTGCAGAATTGGTCTGTGATAAAACCTGATTCTCGTATGTCTCGACCCTATGCACATTTAGAGCGCATATCACGCCATTAAACCAGGTTTCAGTATAGTCGTAACGGTCGTAAAGATGCAGTCAGATCTTTTTCAACGGCCAGATTACAACAGTATTTTTACTTGTAAACCACATGTAAATCATAGGTATTCTCTATTTATAATCTCTCTGCCTATGTTCAGTTCTAAACTGTAGTATTTCGGCTGTCGAGGAAGATCGTGATATGCAAAGTATACTTGACCGCATTTAATGTTATATGTCTCAACTGATAGATAAGGAAGTATGATATAATGAATCCTTAAGATTTTCCTATAACGTGTGGTTTCCCATAGCACTGGGAAAGTATGGCCAACCATCAGTGACATATGAGAACCATGTAATATTGAAATGTAATATTGAAAATTAAAATCATTGTTACTATTTTTTAGCTCCTCATGGGCCTGCTCTCATTGATGCAGATTACGTAGCACTGGAGAACAGATTGACAGCATCGTCATTTATAGATCAGTAAGTAGACTTCATTACGTTATAGTACAGAAACACATTATGGCTGGGTTTTACCAAGCACTGTTGCGTAGCAAATAAATGGATGGATGAAACTTTATTTATAGTACAGATTTTAAAAAGCTAGCAATTATTTCTTGATTAATTTTTAAAAATTAAAATTTTTTTATTTAAATTATTTTTGTAATTTTGGTGACTACTCAACCCAGCCTGTCACATGATTTCTGTTTAGTCGTCACCGGGCAATTCATGGAATCAAATCGGATAGGGTGAATGTGACATCGTGGATACCAGAGGTGGATAAGAAAGGAGAGTATATCCAGGTTAGAACAAGTACCTGTGCTTATTTATTACCGTCAGTCAAGACATTGAAAGCTGTCTGTATTAGAGAGGTGTCCGTATTAGAGAAGTGTTCATATTAGAGAGGTATCCGTGTTAGAGAGGCGTTCATATTAGAGAGATATACATATCAGAGAAGTGTTCATATTAGAGAGGTATCCGTTTTAGAGAGGCGTTCATATTAGAGAAATATCCGTGTTAGAGAAGTGTTCATATTAGAGAGGTATCCGTGTTAGAGAGGCGTTCATATTAGAGAAATATCCGTGTTAGAGATGTGTTCATATTAGAGAGGTATCCTTGTTAGAGAGGCGTTCATATTAGAGAGATATACATATCAGAGAAGTGTTCATATTAGAGAGGTGTCCGTGTTAGAGAGGCGTTCATATTAGAGAGATATACATATCAGAGAAGTGTTCATATTAGAGAGGTATCCGTGTTAGATAGGCGTTCATATTAAAGAGATATACATATCAGAGAAGTGTTCATATTAGAGAGGTATCCGTGTTAGAGAGGCGTTCGTATTAGAGAGATATCCGTATTAGAGAAGTGTTCATGTTAGAGAGGTATCCGTGTTAGAGAGACGTTCATATTAGATAGATGTCCGTGTTAGAGAAGTGTTCATATTAGAGACGTGTCTGTATTAGAGAGAGATATACGTATTGGAGAGGTGTTCATATTAGATAGGTATCCATATTAGAGAAAGTACAAAAAGAACAGTAACTTGGAATAACATTTTGATAGCGGTGTACGTATTTGGAGAGATATCCGTTTCAGTGAAGTGTTCATATTAGAGTCGTGTTTGTATTAGAGAGAGATATATGTATTAGAGAGGTGTTCATATTAGATAGGTATTCGTATTAAAGAAGTGTCTGTACCGGAGAACTGCCTGTATTGTATCAGAGAGCTGCCTTAAAGAGGTATTCGTGTAAGGGAAGTGTCCGTATTAGAGAAGTGTCGAATTGGGTATTCGAGATGTTCTCATTTCCATATTTAAGGTGGACCTGCTTCAATTAACACCAATATCTGGTGTGGGATTACGGAGTGGAGGAGATCAACCATTAAACGACTCGTATATTGAGGTTATGATGCAGTACAGCGATACAGAAGGATCCTGGATGAGCAAGAAAGATTATCGTGGAGAGATCATGGTATGTACTCTTATTTTTCACCCTGCTCGGTTTCCTTTGTTCTTATCGGGGAATATATTCAATATTCCCCTCTAATCAATTTCCGTTTAATAATCCCCTCTAATATTCACCTGCAATTAATAATCCCCTCTAATATTCACCTGCAATGTCTTTGCAGCACAAAAAATGAGAAAAAAACAACATAACGAAGGCAATATGGCATTAAGAATTATTTCTATTCTTACTCATTAATGCGACCTCGCAGTGTGAAAAATAAGTACGTTATTTTGAGGCACCTCGGGGATATGTGTTTATTCACCTCGGCGCTACGCGCCTCGGTAAATAAATCACATATCCCCTCGTTGCCTCAAAATAACCTATACATATTTTCAATCCACAATTTAATTAAGACTTGGACTTCTCACTGTAAGTGAGGGGAAATTTTGGGATCACAGTAATTGGCCAAAAGCTTTTGTGATTCCCAGTCACAATTTGTCATGTTATTAATTGCATTAGTATTTTTTGCACAAGTGAACATAACAAATCCTACAAGTTGATTGGTCAAATTTGACGTGTTAAGCTGTTATATTCACCTACAGGTGAATATAACAAAACCAAAATTTTCAAAATGGCGGCTGGCCGTTCTGTGGAAGTTATTGATAAAGAAATGAGCGAAATTAATTAAAATAAATTCAGTCCGAAAAAACACAAAAGACTTGTGTAAAAATACTAAAACAATTATTCGCCTCAGGCTCGGTGATTATCGGGGAATATTCACCTCGACTTCGTCTCAGCGAATATTCCCCAATAATCACCTCGCGTGATTGGCTTTGGCGAATAATTGTTAATTATTGTTATTTGTTATGGAATCTTAACGCTGTGACAAAGCTTGTAAAATTTAAAAAAATTGAAACTGTGTTCAGATGGCTGTATATTTCGGGAATGCGACCCCGGTCCCAGAGATGAGTGACACGTACACTAAGCATTGTGACACCAACACACCTACCCTGCCAACTAATGCCACAATTTTACGCGTTTGCCTGCCAGACGTTGTCAACAGCAGACTGCGACGTTAACTTTGAGAAGCTAGTGGTCGCTCGATACGTTCGTCTTGTTATCACTGGCTGGGGGCGAAGAACAGGATTTGTGTTTCAACTTTATGGAACTACAGGTAATGAAAATGTTTCTTTGTATTTATGTATTTATTTATTTATTTATTTATTTATTTGTTTATTTACTCGTTAGTGACTTTATTCTGTTGCTTTACAATGATATAACTTAGGTTTCTATCAACAATAGGTTAGTTCAAATCATAGCTTGAATTCGTGGTTATAATTGTCAGTTGTTGTAATTTCAAATCTTTATTCTTAGAATATCATAAAGCAAGCGCTGGGATTGAAGATGGAACAATTAAGGATAACCAGATGAAGTCCTCTAATCACCCCAACGATCCTCATCCAGCCCACGAAGCGCGTTTAAATCACAGAGGAGCCTGGTGCGGAAATACTTTGCGACGACATCTGTATTTACAAATTGACTTTCTGTCAAACTTTGAAGGTGGGTGTCTTAGAAATGATCTGACATCGGGATATGATGTCATTACATTTCATTCGTCTAATGACGTCATACCCGATGTGACATGCGTATAAACCTTGTTCAACGCTTGTTCCTAAAATCTTCAATCTTTTTTAGTGCACGCAGTTGCAACGCAAGCAAAATTAGTTGGAACAATGGCGACTGTTACACATTACAAGTTATCTAGTACTTTTGATAACATCCATTGGAATTTTTATCAGGAGGAGGGAATTTTTAAGGTAGGCGTTTGACATGAGTTGGTCATGGAGCCAGGGATGGATTTACTGTTGGGGGTGGGGGTGGGGTGGGGTGTGCACCCCCTAGCCCTGGCCAGAAGGTGTGCAGAGGGGGGGGGGTGCTATTTTTCATGCAAAGCAAAAAAATATTAGAGACAAAATGAGATACAATAATTTGAGTAATAACATGATGATAAGCGAACAGTGACCAACAATTACAATTCAAATACTGTAGTCAAGTTAAAGTAAGACTTTGCAGTAATGAAGCAAGTTGATGGGCTGGCGGCACACATGACCGACACAACTCGGCACCAGAGCTGGCAGAGCACCCCCCCCTCCCCCCTACCAGATTATGCTGGATCCATCCCTGCATGGAGCTGTATGTATGGTCTGGAGCGAGATGTTGGTATCCAAAGATACAGATATTGGACGTCAGTTTCAGGCCTTTTCTATTGTTTTTGTCTGCGCGGTCTGCAAGGAGTGTGCAGAAATTTCGTATTTTGACTTCGATTTAAACAATAATACCATGGGTTTATGAGCTGATAACTTGTTTAGCGATACGGTCCTTTAGAAAAAGACTGCAATAGGCAATTCCAGCTTTTAATTTATGCGTGCAGGGGGTGACGGGAAGTAAGGTATCATATTGCTGATTATGCTGGAAAATTTTAATAAAAACTGCCGAAACAACCGAAATATTTCAATATTTACAAGTATAAGCTATCATTCCGTGTTTACACGGCCACCATTTTTATTTTTTCACCATTATCAGCAATATGATACCTTACTTCCCATCGTCCCCTGCACGCATAAACTAAAAGCTGGAATTGCCCATTAGCCGGGGGAAAATGGTATTAAAACTGTTTCGACCTTCATAGCTATTGGACGTCAATGGCCGCCATCTTGGCCTCATAGGCCGAACGACTGACGTTCATGTTCCAGATATATAGAGAGAGCATACGGGGGTTGGTATGCTTTGTGGCATCTATTCTTTTTGTTTTTAATCATTTCAAACAATTTTTTTCAGATATTTCAAGGAAACACAAGTTGTCGATGTTCTCGCAAACATTTAGTTCGACCGTTCCTTGTCCGTTCACTGCGTTTTCTACCAATGTCGTGGAAAAACAGACCATGCATGAGAGTTGATGTTTATGGCGTTTATAAAGGTAATTCGATGTTGTATGGACAATGCTGATAGTTTGTTGTGGGTAGATTGGGATGTTGGTGGATATCAGTGAGTATTACAAGGTAGCAGTTGGTGGGTCACCTTTAGACATTATGGTAATTACTGTATAGGAGGGAGAAAAGTTAACTAAATTTCTCAATACCATTTATAGTTGCCACTACTAATACACGACTGCTATGTTTTCGCGTATGGATTCCTATTTCATGATATTGCTTGGTGAAACACACTTTCATGACTCGTGAGCATTGATTTAAATTAACATCTTGTAAACTACGAGCTAATAAAATGAAAAAGGCGATATTTGAACTCTATTTCAAAGTCATTGTCAAACCCAAGTACATTTTTTGTGTTGTTTTTTTTAAAAGCTCATAACTTTACAAGATGTAATTTTTAGGAGAATGTTTCTTTTATATTTCGTGAAATTGTTTGCTGGAAAAGGATTTTGAGCATTAATCCTTTTTATCTTTATGGGTTAAGATTTCCTCGTGCTCGCTCAAACCTGAGGGTTTTAAATTAACTCGTTTAGGTATTCTTCAAGTTCACGTGCGGTTTGGACCGCTTTTGAATGCATATGGCACTGAACTCACACGAGATTGCTCGATTAAGGTATTTGACAGTATTCTAGCATGCATGTAATGTAATTGTCTCTTAGTGTGTTGGATAATCCACCTTCATTATAAATTGTGCCATTTATTGTCTAGTAATTTTGTTTGTTTTCATTTGCAGCTAAATGGTGAAGAAATGTGCAAATCAAATGATGGAATCAACGTTGTTGTAGCGAGCTACACAACTGGTCATCTGATTTCGTCTAACTTCACAGCTGAATATTCATTGTTGAACAACTTACTGACGAATGTAGAAAATGAGTCGATCATTGTATTGGCCACACAAAACGTGCATGAACGGTAGGACTAGTTAATGTACATATTATGAATTCTACTTTTTTTTAAATTTAGAGCGTTCTAGTTAATGCGTTGGTAAAAGTTTCCTTCATTTATCTGACGTGTATAGCTAGCCAAGTTTTTACAGGACAATTTACACGTCAGGTTTGCACAAGTTTAAAAAAATTAGAGTCAGGCAACATGTAACAAGAACGAAGAGAAAACGACGATAAAGAAGAACACATTAAATCAACGACAACAACAACAGCAACAGAAACAACAGCAGCAGCAGAACAGCAACAACAACAACAACAACAACAACAACAACAGCAACAACAACAACAACAACAACAACAACAACAACAACAACAACAACAACAACAACAACAACAACAACAACAACAACAACAACAACAACAACAACAACAACAACAGCAACAGCAACAGCAACAGCAACAACAACAGCGACAACGACAACGACAACGACAACGACAACGACAACGACAACAACAACAACAACAACAACAACAACAACAATTTTCATACGATTTCATCATATCACAGGCCTCCAGAAGAGACGTTACAACTTCTTCAATCAGTTGGCGGAATCAGTCTTCGTTATTCACTGACGTCTGCGGACAATAACTGGATCTTGGTCGGGTATAAAGGAAAACAGAAAGTTGACTGGATTGCTGAGAAAATTGGAAAGAAGGGCGAAGCAGCCATTCGCGTTGCAACTACTGTTCATTTAAACCAAAGTAAGTTTTTTTTGTTGTTGTGAAACTTTACACAGTCTTGGACTGAATCAAACTTCATCTAGTCCTTGGACGTGGCCAAACTATATCCTGACACCGTTGTACTTGACTAAATTCCATCCAGTGCAAAGACTTAATCAAACTTCGCCCAGTCCTAAAACTTTATCGAAACTTTATCCAGTTCTAGGACTTGACCAAATTCATCCAGTTTCAGGATTTGGTCAAATTTCATCTTAAGTGTTGCTCAGACTTTCTGAATTCCTGGGATGTATTTTGATAAAGCCTTAGACACCATCGTGTGAGCATAAAATGTCAGTATGGTCGTATAGCATTTGTCTTTGCTTTTCTTTCCAAGTATCAACTACGCCTGAATTTCACAAGTACTACATGCCTGCAGAGAGCGCAAGCAACACGACTGAGCTGTCAATCGCTGGTCGTCATTCACTCCTGGTTCACAATGTTACTGCAAGATGTGTGCTTAACAACACGGACTGTCAACCTGGACTTTCTTTAGCAATGTGGATGAAACCTGACATACCTAGAGCTAATAGAGCCTCTTCAAGATTTACATCAGCTGAAGGTATGCTGGGAAATTTTGATAAAAGTATCGCAAATTTTAAAATACGAAATTAATTAGGTGTGAGCGACTGATTTCGTACACGGTATTATTATCGAATTAAAGGAGACTTGCAGTTGAAGCCAAACAGATTTTTTAAGAACTGAAATTTGCAGCAACAAAGGCTGGCAATATTTAGTAATCTTACTGTTCGCACATTCCAATAAGTGTCCGCCACCGAACACAACCGAAATAATGTTAGTTATAGTTGTAAAACTGATATATGATAAAATTTACAAAACGAATAACTTTTTTGTTAAAAATACTATATGTTAATTTTGGCTTGGCGGTCACACTTTAACATGTTTATATAGACCATAAACCTAGTCGCTGAGATTTCTCTTGGCATCGTTCTTCAATGGCGCATGCATATATATATACTTTGTGTAGTCTTAGTATATGTGACTACACCGAGGCATGTTTTCTCACTGCCCGTTGACATTAGTTGTTTTTATCTGCTCAATAAAGTTGGCAAAATTAAAAATGATCTCATCATTTTTAGAGCGTTTCGTATTCAAGTACTACTCCAGCGGCTACAATTATATTATTCCAGCACACGAGTTAAACTGGGTCGATTCTCGTAGATATTGCTTGACGTTGGGAACTGATTTGCCCGTGCTCTGGGACCTACACACCGAGAAAGCAATTGATGGAATGCTAGCAAGGGCAGGAGTTTCAAAACGAATTAACATAGGATTGCGACGGCATCCAGTTACCTCGGAGTTTGAATGGGTGGATGGTTCGCCCTTTGTTTACATGCATTGGAGCGGTGGGAAACCAGACAGCGGAGAATGTGTCAGTCGTTTTTCTAACACCAAGTGGGATTCTTTGAATTGTGATAATTGGCTCAGGCAAGTCATGTGCCAACAGTCGATTGAAGGTATGAAAAATATTGTTTGCTTTTGTTCGAACTATTACGTTATGATTTCACGCCCGTTTAGTACGGCTCAACTTTTATGACGTCGTCTCAACCTCGTACCCAGGCTCCTCTCTCTTGGAGAGAAGTGACCGACTTGGTAGCAGCTGGTCACATGATCTACTAAAATGTAGCAGATTTTTAATTAGCGTTGTTACGTCAATTTGATAGTTAATTGAAAAGCATGACTCAAAAACACGTGTTAACCAAAAAATCTGCCAGAGCATGGCAGATTATACGACCAGCCCCTACCAGGATATTTCCTCCCTTATGGGGAAGTCCCTGGTTATTGTAATGGGGGAAAATTCAATCAAGTGATCGATCAATGGATGCATGGAGTAAAGAATCCTGGGGGAGCTTGAAAATTATATTTTCTATTACGTTTTCTGGAGCTTCGTGACGTTCGGCAACTAATTGTTTATGTACTATTTAAAGCACGCGTAGGAGTGTTTTATCACATATGAAACACGACGCGTAGCGGAGTGTTTTATATGTGATAAAACACGACTACAAGTGCTTTAAATAGCTTAAAAAACGACTCATCTTATACGAGTTCATTGGCGAAGTAATTTTTAAATTAAACTTTGTCTAAACCGAGAAAATCAAAGCTAAAGTTTATGTAAATTAACATGATTTTTTATCACATATAAAACCACGACACGTTTATGATTTTTCTTTATGTTTTGCTCCTGAATTATTAATGAGTTTTTTAAAACTTTTTATACATTATAAAAATCTATATTTCTATTTATAATGGTACATGTTCTTACTTATTGTATCCATCATTTAGAGAAGCTATAACCAAATTATTGTTACATCTTAAGCACGCGAGGCGGTTAGCTCGGCAAGTTTCTTTCGTGTGCGGCAGGATTAATGGATATTAATTAAATAGCTCATTCATTCAACCAAACAAACTTGAAATTTCAGATCTTATCGGTCTTGTCCCCATGGGTGTGGAACACCTTGTAATACCTGATGATCGAATGACATCATCAACAATATTTAATGCTGATTACCAAGCATATTATGGACGCATTAATACTGATCGAGGTATTTATCAATCATGGCGTGCACTCGGTAACGATAGTGATCCGTATTTACAAGTTGACCTTGGACATATTAAAACAATATGTGGCGTGGGAACCCAAGGACGCGGCCAAGACGATGTGCATGATCTTTGGGCTAAGTCGTATCGTGTTAGTCTCAGCAACGATTCTACAAACTGGATTTATCTCGAACAAGATGGCTCAACAAAGGTATGCACTCTTTACTAAAACAGCCTATAGATACAGATAATTCATAGTGTCTGCAGGTATGACGTAATACAGGTCCGTAGCTAGCATGTATAGTTGGGGGGAGGGGGGAGGAAAAAAATTTCCGAATGACAAAAAAATTCCGAATATCCGTTTCATGGCATACGAAGCCACGAAGGTATTTGCTGTATCAATGTATCATAATTACATTATAATAATGAAGTAATGTAATAAGTTTCACAACAATGCCACAATGGCTATATTATGCAGCAGCAATTGTTTATTTTTTAGTCAATTATTGACCAAATACAAACAAAAATACACATATTTTACGCATAGACATATTACAAAAGTAACATACCGAAAAACATTTACCGATTTGGTCAAAAGTTGCGGTTGCCATAGAGTGTTTTAATAACTGTACACAAAATATTAACGAAAGTTGTTTTACAATTTTTGTAGTGTCTATTGTTTTGTGTTTTACCGATTTACGACTTGCAAATTGTTATCCATGTAAATACCATGATTTCGTAAATCACCGTAGAAAATAGTAGAAAATTACTTTATGTGTACTATAAGAACGACATATCGATAACTATGTGTGACGTTTATAAGGGGGGTGGGTGGGGGGGGGGTCTCCAGAGAAACGAACATATGACGTAATCGATATGTGAGGCTTCCCTAAACAAACGCTTTGTTTGCATTTTGAACTCAGTGCTACAGTTGTAAAATATGATTAGATATATATTATACTGCATTTTTAACACTCTTTTGATTCGCTATGCTTGTAAATTAATACAGACTAGAGATTCAATTCAAGAAAGTTCGGAAGGTGGGGAAAAGGTGGGGAATGTTAACAACATTCCAATGGTCGGGTCCCGAACATTGGAATGTAGGCCTGCGCAGAACGGACTTTACATCACCTTTCAAAAATTAGTTCTATCGAGTGATGTGCCAAGCACCCTTATATATTAATCCCCCACTCCCCCCCCCTCACATCTCTGCCCCCGATTTAGAACGTCTCATCTGCATCCCCAATCACATCTAACCTCTTTACTGTTACTTATTTTACTGTGTTTTTTCACCAGGAGTTCCAGGCCAACGATGACCTCAATAGCATGGTTATTAATCGCTTTCATCAACCAGTGATCGCTCAAATTATTCGCTTGGAATTTGTGTTTTGGAATAAGGAGGGTGTTGCTCTCTGTTGTGCGAGGATGGAAGTGTTTGCTTGTAGTGACACAGGTTGGTTTGTTTGGTCTTGAAACTTGGCAAACTCAGAGCGTTACACAGAATGAATTACAGACGTCCGATTTCTTGTCGCTGCCACGCCGTGATTCGCAATCGCAGAGCACCTCCCCCGAGAACACATTAAAGGCTTGTCTAAGGCGTTCTGGGGGGAGACATTGCTTGTCGTATGCGCACTGGCTATAGGAACATGGCGAGTGCTTTGCGATTGCGAATCACGGCGTGACGATAGTTTCGGGTCGCTCATTAAATGTTATACATACATACTGCAGTAAAAATTATTAAAATAAAGTCAGAACATCTCAAATTAGCGAACTGTAACTTATTAATTTAAAGACAGTATTAAAGATAAATCACTTTGTGCGACTCATTGCACGGATAGTGATATATTATTTATGTACGTCATATCACTTTCCGTGCAATGAGTCGTACGAAGTGTTATCTTTAATACTGTCTTTAAATTAATAAGTTACAGTTCGCTAATTTGAGATGTTCTGACTTTCTTTAACAATTTTTACTGCAGTATGTATATAGTAAAATTAACCGAACATTTAATGGGCCACCTATGGTCAGACCTCTGTATCGTGTATACTCTGTGATAATGATTTCATGTAGGGAATGTTTGGGAAATTTGTATCGAACGGGTGCATGCTCGTTCTGAATTGAGCTTTTTAATTTTTTATTATAAACTTTCGAAAACCAATGGTAAAATGGACATGTGTGATGTGATCATTGATCGCGATTCGCGCTTAAAAAACGTTATTTTACTATATTTTATAAAACTGTGAACACTGTATATTTATACAACCATTCATGGCCCGGATTTATTTTAGGAATCTTGAAAAAACCACTGTGCGGTGGATAGCATTATCCATGCAGGCTTCGTACAACCAGCCCCAGATGATTAGCACTCCTACACAGGGCCGCCGAGAGGGGGGGGGCAGGGGGGCAAATTGCTCCGGGTCCCCACCTTAATAGGGCCCCAACTTGAGTGCGAGAGCCTAAAATTGAGTAGGTTCTATAAATTGGTCAGAGAATTTTTCAAATTGAGGGCCCCTTACAGCACCTCCACATGCAGTCTAGCTAAGGTCTAGTTGAGTCTAGCTTAAAAATAATGATGTCATAGGGCCCCCAGGGAAGATTTGCCCCGGCCCCCGCGAATTCTCTCGGCGGCCCTACCCCTACATATCCTTTCCTAGACATTCAATCACTTTTGAACCTTACTAAATATAGATAAAGAAGACAAAGAAACAACTCAGGCACAACATCTGCCAAGAAGTATCACAGGTATTATAGTTTAGCAATATTTGACAATATCGTTTTGGTACATTTTTTATACGAAACAAGGACATAGTGATTATAAAAATATTGATGTTAAAATTTTGCAGAGATCGAACCTGAGAATTGCTTGGATGTGCTTATGTCAGGCAAAACAACAGACGGTGTTTATATTATTAACCCCGGTAGCGGGGCTTTTCCCGTATACTGTGATCAAACTACAGATGGTGGAGGTTGGACTGTGTTACAGAGACGCTTTGACGGAACGGTTGATTTTTACCGAAGTTTTGAAGAATACGAGTATGTGATTATTGTTTTTGACATGAAGGTTGGGGGAGGGGGTATCATCATTATCAATACCACCATCATTATCATGATCATCACCATTGATTGTCATCAACTATAACCATCATCATCAAAATCATCACGATCATCGCCATCCCCGCTGTTCTCACTGTCAATACCATCATGATCACCATCATCACCATCACCAATATCATCACCATTACCAAAATCACCATCATCATTGTTGTTTTGTTGAGCCACCACCATCTTCACCATAATCATCACCTTTAACTTAAGACATCTTCAGACTAGATAAAATTACACGAGATTTGAATATATATATAAGCTAATTATAATCTATTTACAAGGTGTTATGTTACTAAGGATAATAAACGATAAGAGGGTGTATGTATGACAGGACGATACAAATGAGGAAACAAAACAGACACAAGAAAACGGCAAATTACAGAAGGTTAAGCGGAATAGAGCTGCCCTGGACGTTAAGAGAGGGTTTGAGCTTATATTTAAGAAGGCTTTCGTGAATCAATAATTCACAAGTGTCTGAGCAAGAGGAAAGCATTTTGAAGTCGTCAAAGTTGGCTGAAGATGTCTTAAGTTAAAGACGAAACGTTACAATAAAAATTCTTTAAAATCTTAACTGTTTTAATGGCTTTGTTAAAATTTATATGTTGGGCTCTCATATTTATCATAAGAATTCGTTTTCCGCCTGGCAAATCTCTGGCAACGATAATCATCACCACTATCATCATCACCACAACCTCCAATAGTCATGGGCTTAGCCAGAGGCCCGCCCACCCGTCATTTGGACGTGTATTTTTAAATGTGGACCGACAAAAAAATTAGTTAATACAATAGTCCAGTCAAATCACTATAAGTACATGGTCCTGATCAAAGTAATCGCAATAGATTTTTTTCAGTGGTAAAGTGTGTGAAAAGTTGTTCTGATTAACATATTAAAAATCCCAAAAAATCCCTTCGGTGGAATATGGTGAAAATCTAGTTTCTCTTACTTTTACCTATAGAAAACCACTGTGGACAGAATGTTCAAATTTTGAAATTATTTTTTTGCAAATATAACCTGCATCATTGGAAAGCTTAGAAAAAACTAAAATATAGATCAATTAAACGGCTACCTTGCTTTTGCCTATCCAGCCGAAGTTACACAAGATTTAAAATGCCATAAATTTGTATTTTGTGCAAATTTTGCGCTATTTTTCCAATTTGAGCTAGAATAACGACAAACTGGCTAGTAAATTGAATATAACGGTTTAATTGACATTTATATAGTTTTTTCTAAGCTTTCCAATAATGTATGTTACATTTGCCTAAAAATGATTTCAAAATTTGAACATTCTGTCCACAATGGTTTTCCATAGGTAGAAGTAAGAGAAACTCGATTTTCACCATGTTCCACCGAAGGGATTTTTTTTTATTTTTAGTATGTTAATCAGGACACCTTCCCTCACATTTTACCACTGAGGAAAATTCTATTGCAATTTCTTTGACCTCTGGTCACAGATTGACTGGACTACAACCCTTTAGTAATGAATACAACCGTAGAAGCTTAAATTTTGCTATAACATGACTTTCAACAGTCACGTACTGCCCGACTCTGCATTTACATCCACAAGCAAACAAGTTACAAATCCCTTTTTGTATTTTGGGGGGCATGCCTGGTCGAACATTTTTGGACGGGTAAATTGCTAATCTTGGCTAGGCCCCGTCCACCATCATCATTATATTACCATAAGCCAGCATCTCATCAGTGCCAATTTTTAGAGCTGGTTTTGGTGATACATCTGGCGAACACTGGCTCGGACTTTCCAAGATGGCGACGCTTACTCATAGTTATTCGAGCGATCTGAGGGTAGATCTTAAAGACTGGTTTGGCGCAACGTTTCAGGTTGTCAATTCTGACTTCATGATCGATGGAGCTAGGTGGGCGTATAAACTACGCTATTCAGGGTCATTAGGTCCTGGGTATGACAGTCTAAAAGACGGCCATAAGAATGCGGTGTTTCATGCAAAGGACCAAGGGAAATTCAAATACACAGCAGTTAAATACCATGGAGGCTGGTGGTACAGTAGTGATGGCAGGAGGGTTAATTTAAACGGCTTTTATCACAAAAGTGGAGTAGATAATGGTAATGGTATAAAATGGGCTGATTTTAGGGACCAAGTATTAAAGGAAAGTAAAATGATGATCAGATGGAATGGCAAAGGTATGTATGGCGCATTAAGGCCGAATGTGAACGAGTTCAAATGAGGGTACATATACTCAGAACATTAATTATAACTTATTTACTCGTTCACGAACATCAGAAGAAAAGAGCCACACTAGAAATCCCATCAAAAGTTGCAAATATAAACCGTCCTTTATATAGACATCACAGGTCCTTTATATAGCCCATTGCTGGCTTTTCACGTCTCGAACTGACGTTTGCAGTATAATGTTATCAGATCAGAACTACGACGTCGACGTTAGCTAGGACATCAGGGTTGAGCGGAGGACTGGGAGATCTTGAGCTATCTTATATCTATCTGGTTATAATTGTGAGATCAGGGGATAGAGTTTAATTTACTGTTCCTCGTGTTGTAGGACTGGATCAGTGAGGGACAACCCTTAAAGATGATGTCCACTCCTGTACACATCATGCGCGAACTTTGTTTACGTTTTGAACTTCTACATTTGTATAATATGATATACTGACTGAATATCTAACACTTTTCTGGTTCGCTATACTTGTAAATGAATCAATATAAACTATACGTTTCAATTCAAAAAAGTTCGAAAGATGCAAAATTGGGCATTGTTTATATCCGGGAGTCCCGCTTTGTTATGAGCAGAACTGATGCGCAGAACGGAGTGGACATCATCTTTAAATTCTATTCTAATCAATATAGCAGTGTTTACACTGATAAGTTTACTGGAGATTCAAAGCCAAGACGTACAGAAAAGGACGTGTGAATAGACCTTTCCCCTTAAGTGAAATTTTGATCTAGACAAGTCTGAACAAAAATTTCGTCACAGCTTGAAAGAGCATCACAAAATTAGTAATATTCCGAAGTTTTGTTGCGAAATGTTGTAAAATGCGGATAATGTAGCCTTGCAAAGTTTGCCTTTTTTCAGTCATTTTGTATTACAAATGGAAATTGATAATCAGATGATCAAACTGATTATCAATTTCCCATTTGTAATACCAAATGACTGAAAAACGGCAAACTTCGCATGGCTATATTATCCGCATTTTACAACATTTCGCAACGAAACTTCGGAATATTACTAATTTTGTGATGCTTTTTCAAGCTGTGATGAAATTTCTATGCAGGCTTGTCTAGATCAAAATTTCACTCATAAGGGGAAAGGTCTATTGAAATAGTGTCTGGTTATGTCCCCATGTTTCGGGTTGCAGTGCTTTGGGTATCAAAGAGGATCAAAGAGGAACATATTTCGTGTGCGAAACACTAAAGGCCTGTTTAAACGGATCCAACATTGTTGGACCAACATCATCCAACAATGTTACTATACTAGATATGACTGCTTCTCTTTCAAATCTTTTTGGTTAGATAAGCTTTACTCAAACCCTAAACCTAGTCTTGACAAAATATTTGAAAAAGAAGCCGTTTGAGCCATTATTTCAACAATGTTGGATGATGTTGGCCCAACAATGTTGGATCCGTTTAAACAGGGCTTAAGGACCGTTTACACCTGCAATTTTTGCTGCGACTTCTAGTGCAATTTTCTCCTTCTGATGGATGTGAACGAGTAGATGAGTTATTAATGTTCTGAGTTTATGTACCTTCATCAGAACATTCATAACTCATCCACTCGTTCACATACATCAAAAGAAGAAAATCGCACTAATGAAAATCCAGGCTTACAAATCGAGCACTTTGTAATCATAAATAAACTTGATGTTTTAATGTTTTAATAAGATTCGGCAACTACCTAAAAATACAACAATGTAGTGCCAGGGAGTTCGCCACAGGTTCCCCCAATGACGAAACAGTCTAAGTAGAACAACACAATTACAAAACGGCTATATACCCACGACTATATATAACGGCTATATATCGATGTTATATCCACGTTAACAAGTTAAATTACGTTGTTTTAGGTGGCAAACAAGGCGCGTTGGACCTCACGGATTGGCATGCATATAAATCTATATCTGGTGCATATGAAATTACAGCTGTGGATGCGAAGCTAGATGGAGTCGTATTTTTGAACATGGACATTGATGGAATTGCTTATTTCCAGGTCAGTGTTAACAAAGTCCAGGAACAGGTTGTTCAAAGCAAGATTAGCCCTAATCCTGGGTAAAAATTTAACTTGCTGTTTTGTTTTCTTCTATATGTCCGTTTGTTTCAAAACTGTATAGAAAATATAAAACCTCTAATAATATCCAGACGTGATTCCTAGAAAAAATCTTTCCAAGTTTTTAAATATTGCATGGTAACTTTGGTTTGAAGTCCTACATTAACGTAGGATTAGCAGTCTTTTGAACAACCAGCCCCTGTTGTTTAATTTGTGTATGGCACGAAACTGTAATATATATTTTGAGACTAAGAACTAAGAAACTCAAGTATCCTGCATGCTTACATTATAATTGCATTAATTACACATTCAGTTCTTTTCATTCAGCCCAGGGGCCGGTTGTTCAAAGGTGGGTTAGCGCTAACCCTGGGTTAAAATTAAACCTGCTGTTTTAGTTTGTGTATTTCTGCACGTCTGTTTATTTCAAAACTTCAGAGTAGTAAACTCCTATCGATCCTGAAAAGATCTCTGAAGAAATATTTCCAAATTTATAGACAAGCTGTCAGGAAGTTTGCTTTGAATTTTAGATTAACCTAGGATTAAGTTAACCCAGCTTTGAACCCGCCCAAGGAAAACAACATAAACATTTTTCAAATCCAATTTTCGTCCAAATTGAAAAACTCAGTTTGGTTCTAAAGATTAGTTTTTAGCTTCGATATTGCATTGGCAAAACCCCTTTTAGGGAATATAGAAGAAAAACTGGCATATTGCTGAACATTTTTTTTTTCACTTTCAGGGAGATTTTTTTACAGCGCGTCGTTTAACGCACGTTTCAACGCAAGGAGGGACAAATTTACACTTCGTAAAACAATATTCTCTCCAGTTAAGTAGTGGCGAGGGAGATTGGATGGACTACAAAGAAAATGGCGTTTTAAAGGTTTGTTTTTTTTTCAAAATAAAGAGGAATATATTTTGATTGACTTATGCGTGTGATTTATTTTTGAAAAATTATTCGGAGTATTTAATTTAATATTGGATTACGTGCTTCCAGATATTTAAATAAAGTTAAAACACTCATTAATAATTCATACGCTTTTTGAAAAATCATGTAAACCATAATATGTCACGTGAAGTGGCTTTATAGTTTATACCTGATAAAACCCATCTTCATTAATATTGTTTATATAAAGTCATTCCTAATTAGTATTCTCTTTATGTAATGAATACTGATTGTAGGTGATTTAAATACTATTTAAAACATTCGCAGTGCGTGTTTATCAGACCTAAAGATACTCGGCTGATAATATCTGATAAAACACTCTGCTCATGTTTTAAATAGCTTCAAAAACGATCGATCTAGTAAGTTCATTGGCGAAGTAATTTTCAAAAAACACGTTGTGTAAGTTGAGAAAATCAAAGTTAAAGTTTATGTAAATCAAGGGAAATTTCTATCACATATAAGGATATATATAACACGCTTATGATTTTTCTTTGTGTTTTCCCATAGAAATAATAGACATGTCTATTATTTCTATGTGTTTTCTCATGAATTATTAATGAGTTTTTGAAGTCATGTAAAGCATTTGAAGTGGTGTTTTATCGTGTCTAAAATGCATTTTCAATATGATGAAACACTCCAATACGCGTGCTTTAAATAGTACATAATTATATATTTAGTTTTTATCTTAGTGAATTCGAATCGAATGTGGTGACTTTGAATTACATGCACGTTGATTTAGATATTTGAAGGCAACAACGAACTCACGCTAAGTGATGCGTCGCATGTTGTATCGAACTGCTTGAAAGAAACAAAACTAACGAGAATGGTGAAGATTTACCCCATTGCTTGTGAAGGATCATGCTCATTGAGACTTGAAGTTTACTCGTGCTCTGAATGTAAGTTGAAATTGATGTTTTTGGCATTTGACTCATAAGATATCTATAGTAGGGGTAAGCGCGTAACTCCCACTGAGCTCTCTATGTATATATCTGGAGTGAGAACTCGCCCAATCTCGTTCCCCGACCATGCCCGTTCGCAGGTTAAGGGACCGAACCCAAGCATAGCAACAAGTCATGCTATGCAAATTTTTATAAACGTTTTCTCTTCAATCTATTTACTTACATGCAGGTTTATTAGACCTGTTGCCATGACTAGCTTCGGTACTGCTCGTCTCTTCCGCTTCTTGCGTGTTTTGTCCTTCTATCCAGCTGTAGTCCCAGACTGAACTACGCAAAATCGTTATTCATTGATCTTTCTTTCTACATTTAGCTTGCTCAAAAGCCGTCGGTGTTCAGTACACAAATAAGATTCATCGTGACAGAATGACAGCGTCGTCCAACAGGTATGATGGAAATCCATATAGAGGAAGATTACATGCTACAAATTTGCAATGGACCACGGACAGTCAAAGGCCCAACGAATTTCTTGAAATATGGTTCGATGAATTATTGAAAGTGACATCCGTGGCAACGCAAGGTGGCATTAATTGTTGGGTGAAAAGTTTTGGCATTTCGTATCGCGATAAGAACCTCAAGTGGAAAGTGTATAAAGGAAACAATGGAGCGGTCAGTATACATGGATATTTATTACCATGCTATATCATATCATATACCATGCTACATCATCCTACCATACCATACCATACCATACCATACTATACCATACCATACCATACTATACCACACCACACCATACCGTACCATACCATACCGTACCGTACCATACCATACCGTACCGTACCATACCATACCATACCATACCATACCATACCATACCATACTACACCTTACCATACCATACCACACCATACCGTACCGTACCATACCATACCGTACCGTACCCTACCATACCATACCATACCATACTACACCTTACCATACCATACCATACCATACCATACCATACCATACCATACCATACCATACCATACCATACCATACCATACCATACCATACCATACCATACCATACCATACCATACTATGCCATCCCATACTATACTATACCATCCCATACTTACTATACCATCCAATCCATACCATACCATACCATACCATCCATCCCATCCATACCATACATCCATACCATTCCATACCATACCATACCATACCATACCATACCATACCATACCATACCATACCATAACACACCATACCATACCATACCATACCATAACACACCACACCATACCATACCATCCATACCATACCATACCATACCATAACACACCATACCATACCATACCATCCATACCATACCATACCATACCATACTATACCATACCATACCATACCATACCATACCATACCATACCATACCATACCATACCATACCATACCATACCATACCATACTACACCTTACCATACCATACCATACCGTACCGTACCGTACCATACCATACCATAGCATACCATACTATACCATACCATACTACACCTTACCATACCATACCATACCGTACCGCACCGTACCATACCGTACCATACCATACCATACTATACCATACCATACTACACCTTACCATACCATACCATACCGTACCATACCATACCATACCTACCGTACCGTACCGTACCATACCATACCATACCATACCGTATCATCATACCGTACCATACCATACCATACCTACCGTACCATACCATACCATACCATACCATACCATACCATACCGTATCATCATACCGTACCATACCATACCATACCTACCGTACCGTACCATACCATACCATACCATACCGTATCATCATACCGTACCATATCATACCATACCATACTATACCATACCATACTACACTTTGCCTTACCATACCATACCATACCATACCGTACCGTACCGTACCATACCATACCATAGCATACCATACCGTACCGCACCGTACCATACCGTACCATACCATACCATACTATACCATACCATACCGTATCATCATACCGTACCATATCATACCATACCATACTATACTA